CTCTCCCTGTAGAATGAGTTTACCTCAGTGTTTGTGTCCTATTTGTGAACTGGCATATTAACAGTATATGCCAATAAAATGTCGAGATGAATGAATAAAAGCAAAAACATACAGAACAATATAGGATACTTGGCAGTGACTGTGTACATACCAGTGTTGGTGGCCATGTGTGTTATTTATATCATTATGTAATCGAACAGAACCCTTAACTGACCCCAGGGTTTTGACTGTGCATTAGCTTACACCTGGACATTTGGATTGAGGTGGTGGTACTGCTTGGATTTGAACTGAGGGCTTGCTCGGTAGATGCTCTGAGCCGTGCCTCAGGGTCTCAGTTTTTTCTGGGGCTTGTGCCTAGATGGCAGTCCTAGTTCTTTGTTTTCTGCTGTAGCTGGAGCCTTGTGTGTTTTGTGTTGTTTTTACATCCCCTGTCTCCACGTGTGTTAATGACTGAGACATACTTGAATTCTGTAGTCTAAACTTACTTGAGTAAGTAAGGGATGGCTTCCTTTAAGATCATTTTTTACAAATTTGGCCGTAACAGTTTTCTTCATAGTTTTGAGATGTTTTTATATTTTAAGGCCCCCTAGTTTTGCTGAAATGTTTTCTAAAATATGCTGTTTTGCTTTAGATACATTCTTCTTCTTCTTCTTTTTTTTTTTTTTTGGGTCCAGTTGTGGGGCCTGAACTCTGGGCCTGGGCGCTGTCCCTCTGCTCTTCAGCTCAAGGCTAGTGCTCTACCACTTGAGCCACAGCGCCACTTCCAGCTTTTTTCTCTTTTCTTATGGGGTGCTGAAATATAGGAACCCAGGGCCTCAGGCATGCAAGGCAAGCGCTGTACCACTGAGCCACCTTCCCAGCCCTAGATACATTCTTAATTAATTCTTCTGCTAGATTACATTTGCATTTGGCATTGTAGATAAGTATTGTGAGGTAGGTATAGTAGAGGCATTTTGGTATTTCTTCTTTAAGAAAAAAACAACTGTCAATTTCCCTGGAAAATGGGATATGAAGCTGTGTTCTTTTAAGGGAAGTTTGCTTTTCTACGTTATTTGTGGCCTATTTGCCTTGCAGAATGCAGGTTTGTTTGAATCTGTTTGTCAGTGACTTCAGTCCTTCCTCGGTGAGCTGTGGGGGCAGAACATCACACTTACAGCAAGCAGAGCTCTTCCCGACCCTCTCCCACCCCGTTTCTGGAAGAGTTTTTGTTTTAATGATATAGCAAAAGAGAAAAGTTATTTAATTGCTGATAAGTTTATGTCAATCCACCCATCGTGTACTTGGTTCATTGTTGGTATCCTCTACTGATCTATTTCTTTAGGGTTCTTTTGTTGTTTATTTTGTTACTTTTTGACTTCCACAGACGCTCCTAATTCTGGATGATGGCAGTCTGTGTTGACAATGATCACAAGATGGTTGTCCTCGGAGCCGCTCCTGGGCCTTCCAAGGAGCCTCTGATGCCACTGCCCACAGTTGGTCCCTGTGACAGCTCCAGTTCCTTACATGTTGTTGCTCTAACCTGTAAAGGCAGCTCTATTGGGAGGCAGGTGGTGATGTAGTAAGTGTGTTAGAAATTAAGGATCCCATTTTTATGTTATATCTCATCTCTCGCCACAGGGTGGGACGCTAGCGTGGATTTTACTTTTTCACTGATGAGTAGTCTAATGGCTCTTAAGTATGTCACCTCAGTCTACCAGTCAGGCTGTGGCTTTGATGCGAACTCCCATTAATCCAGGTTAGCTGGTGATTTCCTTCTCCTTGAAAGAGAGCAAGAAAAAGTAATGGGTAGATCAGAACCGAACTCTGGATATTCCCAAAGCCAGGGTTTGTACCCCTGCATTAATAGCAACTCACTTGGCCGTTCTTTTAAGTTGCAGCTCTGTGGTGACTTCTTAGAAAATTTCTTAAACAGAAAATTAGGTAATTCCCACTTTCCCTTATTTTATTTCCCTTATTATTATTATTATTTACCTTTTTCACTTCCTGGCTGTGTCCTTTTTTTTGGGGGGGGGGTCCGGTCGTGGGGCCTGAACTCTGGGCCTGGGCGCTGTCCCTCAGCTCTTCAGTTCAGGGCTCTACCACTTGAGCCACAGAGCCACTTCCGGCTTTTTTCTTTTTTCTTATGTGGTGTTGAGGAATCGAACCCAGGGCCTCAGGCATGCAAGGCAAGCGCTCTACCACTGAGCCACCTTCCCAGCCCCCTGGCTGTGTCTTTTTGGGGATAACTTACCACTGTAGTTATAGCTTTCTCAGGAAGTTGAAGTAGCCAGACATTTGATTATTGACCAAGAGTTCTATTACATACTTGTTCCTCATTATGTGTGGGTAATTGGTTCCAAGATCCCTTTACAGCGTACCCTGCAATCGTGGTGCATCTCTGGGTTATTTGTAATACTTAAAACAATGTAAACATGTATTATTAGGCAATAATGACAGGAGAAAAGCTGTCTATGTCCAGCACATGCTCAGTATGGATGCAGGGTTTTTCTTTCTGAATACTTTTTTGGCCCACAGTTATTTGTATTATTAGATTTATAACCTTTTGATTTGGCACTAGTTAGTGCTGTTAAACTACCCATGTTTTATTTTAATATTTAGTTTGTCTTCATGCAGCTCTGGGGATGATGAAGGAAGACATTTTGGAGTAGCATGTCTTTTTTTAAAATTTATTTTATTTTATTTTTATTGTGAAAAAACTGTACAGAGGGGTCACAATTACATGGGCAAGATAATGAGTACATTTCTTACCAAGCATTGCAGCCTCCTCCTTTGTTTACCCTTCACCTCCCTTCCCAGCCTCCCCCCCCTCCCAATGAGTACATTTCTTATCAAGCTTTGTAGCCTCCTCCTTTGTTTCCCCTTCCCATCCCCCTAGAAACTTTTTTTTGAGGGGTCTGGTCTTGGGGCCTGAACTCTGGGCCTGGGCGTAGTCCCTCAGCTGTTCAGCTGAAGGCTAGCACTCTACCACTTGAGCCACAGCGCCACATCCAGCTTTTTTTTTTTTTTCTTTTTGCTTATGTGGTACTGAGGAATCGAACCCAGGGCCTCATGCATGCAAGGCAAGCACTCTACCACTGAGCCACCTTCCCAGCCCCCCCCCCAGAAACTTTTTTAATGCACAGCTTGACCTATGACTTACTGAAAAGAAAATATTGCTTGGGTTTTCGGAAGCCAAATGTAGGCCCCCCAAATACTAATTTTTGGAATCTAGAAAATGTTCTGCATTAATTTATAGGGTTTTAAAAATTATATTCATTTTATGGTCATGCTAAGCAGGAGATCTAACACTTGAGGCATGTCTCTAGCCCTGTAAGTTTACTGATTAAATTTTTTCCAAAGCTTGGTAAATTTGTTAAATTATAAGCGGTATGAAGTACCTTAACTTGTCTAATGTAATCTTTTTATAGTTATATATCACTCAGCAGCTATTTCTCGTGAGTGAAGAGATGTTAACTTCTGTGATGACAAGTACCTTTTAATTGATCCTTTAAAAGTAATTCAGGCTTTAGTCACATTGTCTTGTTTCTATTTCCAGAAATGTTTTAGTAAAAACTGTCAGGTGAGCATAAAAATGATGCAACATTGGGATTGCTACATCAATACTGCTATGTTCGTTTTTGTTAACCTTTCCTAATAGAAACGATGCGCAGTGATAACCTCATTGCTCAGTGACCTCTTGATCTTGCCTTCACATCTGGGTGAGACTTCACCATAAACCCCCTCTGCAGAGTTGCGTTCATTGTGCATTTAGGTTGTACTTGGGGGGGGTGGCGGCGGGGCCTGAGGGTGACCTGTGTCTCTGCTTGGGAAGAACCACATAGAAGGTGCTGCTTACACCTGCAGTTGCAGAGCTGCTGGCCTCTCACCCAGCACTTGGGAGCACCACAAGGCTTTTCTGGATGAGAACTGGCTGACAGAGTTGAAGGACCTATTTCTGATGATCACTTTGGTGCACATCAGAATTTGATATTTCTGATGATCACTTTGGTGCACATCAGAATTTGATATTTCTGATGATCACTTTTGGTGTACATCAGAATTTGATATTTCTGATGATCACTTTGGTGCACATCAGAATTTGATATTTCTGATGATCACTTTTGGTGCACATCAGAATTTGATTTTTTTTTTTTTAGTTGGTCATAGGGCTTGAACTCTGGGCCTGGGCACTATCCCTCAGCTCTTCAGCTCAAGGTGAGTGCTCTACCTCTTGAGCCACAACTCCATTTCCGGTTTTCTAGTGGTTTATTGGAGATAGAGTCTCACAGGGTTTCCCGCCCAAGCTGGCTTTGAACCGAGATCCTCAGATCTCAGCCTCCTGAGTAGCTAGGATGACAGGCGTGGGCCACCAGTGCCTGGCATGATTTTTTTTTTAATGGTATAGAACAAGGTAAAATTTGAGTCAAGTTTTTCATCCAGGGGTGTTATAGAATGCTGGAAAGATGAACCTATTACTTTATATGGATTAGAGCTTCTCTCTCTCTGATCATTGAGACAGTGAAACTAAGACAGTAATTCTGTCATGGAATTGCCTTTTCTTTATTCAGGTTAGATTTTGAAATCTAGACTCCTTAAGTCTTTTTTACTTTTGTATTTTTAAATGAAAAAAAATGTTGAAGCATAGTATATTACTTTGACGAAAGAGACTCAAGGTTTTAGTCTTAGTGACATCAAGCACTAGTATTAAGGAATGGAAATTTGTCAATAAAGGGTAATCCGTCATCAGTATAAAAAGCATATGCACACTTAAATGAGGATTAATTGATACTTGTATTCCATGTAATGACTAAATTAACTACATGAAAGGAAAAAAAATTCTGTGTTTGTCTACATGCTATTTTGTGGATTCTCATCTCGTTTTGGACCCTTACCACCCTGTACTGTTTGTCTTTCCTTTAGACGCTTACTCAAGGGCTACTAGGTTAATGAACCCTGGTTTACATGGCATATTTTAAAGACTTTAACTTTGAACATTTTATTTTATTTTTTTTAACAGTGAACAGAGTATCTGTCAGGCAAGAGCTGCTGTGATGGTTTATGATGATGCCAATAAGAAGTGGGTGCCAGCTGGTGGCTCAACTGGGTTCAGCAGAGTCCATATCTATCACCACACAGGCAACAACACATTCAGAGTGGTGGGCAGGAAGATCCAGGACCATCAGGTAAGTACTCACAGACGTCGTTTGAAGTAATTGGTATATCATTAAAATAAAGTAGTGCTTCAAAATAATCTCTCTGGGAAAAATTGAGCATAGGTTTGCCTGCCCACTCATTCTGCTGCTTAGGAAGCGTGAGTTTAGATGAAGAGTGATAATCTAATTGTGCAAAAATTTGTGTTTCTCTATGAGTCTTCTAGATCATCTGCCCTTGCAGTTAGCCAGTTTTTGCAATCTAAGGATAAAAAAGTAATGCAATAGTATTTAAGGAGCAGACTGTGTTTATGAGGTCTGTTTTCTGCCAGAAGAGTGGGTTATAAGGCTAGAAAAAGGAATGAAAAGGGTAAGTAGTTTCAGGAAATAGTGTTAAGCTCATAGATGATAAGAATTAAAATTGCTGATTATGTCTAAGATGGATCACTAAGCTTTTCCTAATTCTCTACATTTCCAGTAAAGTAACCTGATATATTTTGGTTTTTCGTTTGTAACAAATCAGAAGCAATAGAGCAAAGGAAAGGTACATAGGGTCTTGTTAGCACTAACTATCAGATAATAGGAGCAAAAACTTTTATGAACTATGCTTATGTGTGTATGTGTTACGTATTTTTATTTTGTTACTGACATTTGATAAACTTGCTAAGGTAGTGTTCTGCTACGTGAGCCATACTCCACGCCATACAACATACTTTTGGGGGAAAAATTTCCAAAGATTTTAGAATCAGCCAATGTTAAAGTCCCTCTGACAAAATTCAAGGGAAATCTTACCAGGTTTTGTTGTCAGTGTTCAGTTAAGCTAGAGAAAAGCCATCCCTAGGCTTCTAGGACATGTGATGGGTGGATAATGTGAAACCGATGCTGCATTAACCACGTTTTAGAATGGAGAGTATGGACTACAGTAGCCAGGGGCTTAGATTACATGTATGAGCTACAGCTTAGTGAGAGATTGGGCTGGGAGATGGGTAACTGCAGAAACTTGGGCATCCTAGTAGCACTGAGTTAGCGAGAACTACAGAAGACCTTCTCAGGACAGGGAGACAAAGAACAGTTTCTGTCTGAGCTGGTTTGGGAGCTTTCTCAAGAAATGGAAACTACAACCTCTTTAACAACACTAGCCAAGAAATTATCAACAACACTAGTGGGCCAGTGACTCTCTGGGGACAGCTGGTAAAAATAAATGCAACGCCTCTGGAGAGAAACGGACAGCTTTGAAGTCAGTCTACAGAAAACAATTCGCTGAAAATATCAAGTTGATTGATTTAATAGAAACGGTCTCAGCCTGGCCCTTTTCTCTGCCTCCTCGGTATCCCTCTCTGACTCTAGCCCTCCTCCTTCCCCACTGCTTTGTGCTTCCTGCCTCTGCTCTCTCCTCAGCCTCTTTACCACAGCTCTGTACCCTGGTCTGTAGAGAGTTGGATTATGCTGTGAGCTTTCTTTTCATCCATCTCCAGCAGGGTGCACCAGTTGGGAGTTAGGCAAGAGACAAATGAGTTATCCCTTAAGATATTATTACAGAGAGCAAAATAAAACTGGGTGATAGAAATTGTTGAACATCCTGTAATCCTAGCTGCTCGGCAGTCTGAGATGTGAGCATTGAAGTTTGAAACTAGCCCAGGCAGACAAATCCACCAGACTTATCTCCAGTTAACCATCCAAAAACTGAAACTAGAGGTATATCTCAATTGATAGAGCACCAGTACAAGCACAAAGGAAAACTAGCCTGTAAGTCAACTAAGATGTTCTTAGAGCTTGCCCTGAGGACAGATTTACTGGCACGTTCTGGGGGATAGAAGGGGGAGTAACGAACTTACCCCAAGAAGAAAATACCAAAAAAGAAACAAACTAGACAGACTGGCAGGATTTTTTAAAAAGTGAAAAAATAATAGTAGGAATAAAAAATAACTGTCATTGCTGGGCGCCAGTGGCTCACACCTGTAATCCTAGCTACGCAGGATGCTGAGATCTGAGGATCATAGTTCAAAGCCAGCCCAGGCAGGAAAGTCTGTGAGACTCTGATCTCCTCCAATAAACGATCAGAAAACTGGAAGTGGCGCTGTGGCTCAAGTGGTAGAGCGCTAGCCTTGAGCTGAAGAGCTGAGGGACAGCGCCCAGGCCCAGAGTTCAAGCCCCGTGACCAACAACAAAAACACAAAAATGACTGTCATTGTAGGAAGAAAATAAAAAGGAATGTTATTAAAAAATGCTAAAAGTGGGCCATTTTGTAGAAAACCATAATTTTCTAACACAGAAGAATATAAGCAAGGCACTAGTGGCTCCTGCCTATAATCCTACCCCATCAGGAGGCTGAGACCTGAGGATCACAGTTCTACAAAGCCAGCCCCTCTCACATAGTCTGTGAGACTCATCCCCAATAAACGAGTCAGGTAAAGCAGGAAGTGGTGCTGTGGCTTAAGTGGTAGAGCACAGAGAGGCTCAGGGACAGCGCTCAGGCCCCGAGCGCAAGCCCCCAGGACCAGCCAGAAATGGAAGAGTATAAAGAGAAGTAGACTACACCATAAGATAAAAACATGTACCCCTAACTTAAAAGGATGCCTGGGAGTGCCTAGCATTTGCAAATGAGACTTGTAGGCTTCAAGAGACTCGCCACCTGATGCATATTGTTGTAGAGAGTAGTGTTTCACATGGCTAGTATAATTTTGATATCTAAAACAGAAGAAGAGCAGTTAGAGAGAGGAGAATTACATGCCAGTCTTGATTATGAACGTACATACAGATGCAGAAGTCCTTGGTAACCTTTATGGACCAAATGCAGCAATATAGAATCCATGTCTCTTTTCAGGAGTGTTTACCATTAGATAACTGGTAGTGTGACCAGCAGCAAACAAACACGAGACAAGAGAATCAGGAATAGCTTGATAAAATTCAAACCATTCCATAGTCATTTACAGCACATCAGGCATAAAAATGAATTTTCTTAAGCTGCTAAAGGTGGATAATACAAACTTAAAGCAGATACCTCACTGAATGATAGTGTCAGATTTTTATTAATCTTGTAAAAGTTGAAGATTTCTGCTTTAATCAACTTCATTAGTGTTGCTGAGTACATTCTAGCTAACAAAGGTGGCTCAGTGGTAGAGTGCTTGCCTCGCATGCACGAGGCCCTGGGTTCGATTCCACAGTACCACAAATAGAAAGCCGGAAGTGGTACTGTGGCTCAAGTGACAGAGTGCTAGCCTTGAGCTGAAGAGCTGAGGGACAGCGCCCAGGCCCAGACCTTAGGCCCCACAACCAAAAAATAAAATAAAATAAATAGAAGCTCTAACGATTGAAAAGGAAGAAATAGTTGTTCTTACTCACCAGTGATATAATTTTGTCCACATCAAAACATATTCCAGTATCTTTAAAGTATGAAAACTAGTAAGGTTGCTAGAAATCAATGTTTAAAAACCAGTAACATTTATATATAACTAGCAATAAGCAGAAAATATAGTTTTGACTTCACATATTTAGGAATTAGCACTTGTATCAGTTTAGTTAATAATATATGTTAATTTTTATAATAGAAGCTTTAATGAAAGTTTGAGCATTCAAGAATCACTAGTTTGTTGAGACAACCTAGGAGAAGTCATGGATGAGTTCACAGACAAGGCTGGCACCGAGGAAGGGTATAGGAGAGTAGACGTTTGCTGCGTTAGGGTGCGTCTGTGTTAGAACACACCACACCAGAACTCGGGCTTGCTCGCCAGATTTGCTGCCACAGCCTGTGGGTCTACACTTTGACAGCATACTTTAGAGGATATCCAGTAATGAAAACATACACTTGCTCCTTACTTCTTTTGGGTGCTGGTCCTAGGTCTTGAACTCAGGGCTTGGCCACTGAGTTTTTTTGCTCAAGGTTAGTGTTCTATCACTTGAGCCACAGCTCCACTTCCGGCTTTTGAGGTTAGTCAAACATAAGCGTCTTTGCTGGCTGGGCTGGTTTTGAAATCGTTCCTCTGCTGTGTCAGCCTCCTGAGTAGTTAGGATGACAGGCGTGAGCCACTAGCACCTCGCTCCTCCTGACTTTTGAAAGTTGTTTACAGTGTTCTGTTCTTAAAGGTTAGGCGACTAGGATACTGACTTTTAAATACGGATTCTGCTGCCAGGGCATTAACTCAGCGTCCGCTCAACTTGGCCTTTTCATTTGCCGCTGGTGATCGTAGTTTTCCGTTACTGGTTAATGGGAGGCAGGGTCTCGAGGACGCCTCTGACTTTGAATTGTGATCCTCAGCTCTTAACCTTCTGAGTAAGATGGTAAGCATGAGGCAGGAAAAAAAAAAGAGCACTTTGTTAAGTTTGATTCTAGTGTTTTCTCAAGAGAAAATGTTGTGGAAAAGCATAAACTCAATGTAACTCCTCCTTTTCTTGGTTACCACTTTTAGGCTATTTGCCAAGTAAGTATATAAATCTGTCCCAGAATGGAATTTGTAATAGTGATAACTAGTAGCTAGAGTTTTGTGGCCTCACCTCAATATTTATAGAAAAAAACGAAGTGGTCATTATATTTTTATTGTGAAATATGTAGTCTAAAATTCACCATTTTACTTATTGTTAGGTGTACAGTTCAGTGACACTAAATACAGTCACAGTACTGTGCAATTGTCAACACCAGCTCACCTCCCTCAGGTGCTCAGAATGGGTCTCTACTTCATAAGCAATAATTCCCCATTTCATCCCTTCCCCATTCACCACTTTTCTCCTTGTTTCTCTGAAAAATCACATGATAGCTGTGATAAAATGGACACAGTTGTCCAGCCTTTTTACTTAATAATGTAATTCTCAAATTTATATTTCAGTATTGGTAGGTGATTTTGGTAAAGCCTCTATCTGAGATTACAATAATTGCACAGAATATAAAAAGAAGAGGAAATATCTGGACAGCTTAAATTATCAGTCTATCGTCCGAGAGACTAAAGAGCTGGAAAGGGAGTGCCAGTGGCTGACGCCTGTAACCTTGGCTGTTCTGGAGGATGAGAGCAGAAGGGTCACAGTTGGGGTCCGCCCAGACAGAAAAGTTAGAGCAACCAGCAAAAACAGGCTAGATGTGTGGCCCAAATGGTAGCATGCCAACTTAGCATAAGGCCCTGAATTCAGGCCCCTGTACAGATCTCCCCCCTCAGAAAGAAGAACCAGAGAGGTAACTCTAGTTCTGAATCTGTTTGCCTTTTACCTGAGAGGCATGTTAAGTTGCATTGAAAAGCTGAGCAGTTCTGGGGGGATTCAGATGTAGGATCCATATTAGAAAATGGTACAGTTCTGGCCTGGTAACAAAGCAGGAGTATTAGTTTTAGTAATCTCTGTACCAAAGGGGAAATTGGCTGAGAATTAGACAGGCCTTCACAGGAGCAGAATCCCAGGCTCTAATTGTTTTAATCACTGTTTGCGTTGAGGTAATTGGAATTTGTTCGTTTCCCGAGCTGCTTGCCAGAAGTGAATGTCTTACTGGTAGAAATTTTAACATCATTTGAGGCCTCAAAATTTCCATACAGTTGACCATACGTGATGTCTGACAAACAAAATAACCGGTATAAACAGAGGCAAAGTGGACAGCGTTAGAGCAGACTCACTGAGGAATCCAGCTCCTGAGTTACCAGTAGTGCTTTCTCTTAACAGCTCAGTGATAGGAGGATGTGAACATTCAGACACAGTTAAAAAGAACCAGTGAGCTGGCTTGGCGGCACAGTACTCAGAAGATGGAGTTAGATCGAGGTGAAACTGAGTCTGAAAACAGAGCTCACGTCAAAAGGACAAGAGGTGTCTGCCAACCTAAGAAGTAGAGAAGTTCAACTGCAGTACTGCCAAAGATATGCACATTAAAAGAGTACTGGTGAACTAGGTTGTAGGTCAGAAGAAATAATTCAGACTGAAGCTAAGATGTGTGAGAAAGACAAAGCTGTGCATAAAAAGAGGATTAGTAGCACACACAAGACTGAGTTCAAAGTCCAGTATCAACCTCTCTCCCCCCCAAAAAAAAACAATTGTTACGGGTAAATCTTTTTTTTTTTTTTTGTCGGTCGTGGGGCTTGAACTCTGGGCCTGGGCGTTGTCCCTCAGCTCTTCAACTCAAGGCGAGCGCTCTACCACTTGAGCTACAGTGCCACTTCCATGTTACGGGTAAATCTTAAATGGTCATTGGCAATATGAAATTAATATTCACATTTCACAGTCACAGGGCGTAAAATATACTTGATTTAAAATACCTGCTAAAACATAGTGTAGAATCTGAAGGGTTGATTGCCAGAGGGGGTATTATTGGAGGACACCCTTATGAAGGCCTGTATTGTTGAAAAAAATAAAGGTATTAATTTTTATTTATTTATTGTTTTGGTCCGGTCGTGGGGCTTGAACTCTGGGCGTGGGCGCTGTCCCTCAGCTCTTCAGCTCAAGGCTAGCGCTCTACCACTTGAGCCACAGCACCACTTCTGGCTTTTTTTTTCTTTTTGCTATGTGGTGCTGAGGAATCGAATCTAGGGCCTCATGCATGCAAGGCAAGCGCTCTACCACTGAGCCACCTTCCCAGCCCAAAGGTATTAATTTTTATTTGGAGATGGGTATAAGATGTCTGCTGTAATCTCTAGGGCAGCTACTAAAACAACAGTGAAAAATATAACTAATAGGCTAGTGGAGGTCATAATAAAAGAAAAAGAAGAGAAACAGACAAGCAATAGTCTGGTCAATAGAAGCAAGTAGATGGCAGATTGAGGTCCAAAATTATGTTTAGTTTACATTAAACGTAACTTGATTGAAAATTCAAAGCAGAAAGTAGAAGGTTGGATAAACAATTTAAAAAGTATTCTGTTAACATTCGTATTGAAAGATAAGACTACAGGAAATGTTAAATTTAAAAGAGCCAGGTGCTGGTGGCTTATGCCTGCAATCTCAGCTACTCTACCTACTCCAGTCTGCTCTGATCTGAGGATCGTGGTTTGAACCAGCCCATATAATATAGTCCATGAAACTCATTAATCTCTAGTTAACCACCTGCCAGCAGTAGAGCTGTGGCTCAAGTCGTAAAGCACTAGCCTTGAGCAAAAATCCTCAGAGACAGCGCCCAGACCCGAGTTCAAGCTCCAGTATGAGCACAAAAAGTAAACACATGAATAAAAAAAAGACAAACTAGAAAGCTCCTAGCTGAGAAAGAGCTGTTGTTATACAAAGTAGTTTGTAAGGAAAAAAATACGTTATTGAGAGGATATGGGGCAGGTATAAGTAATGGATGGTTACTAAAATATGTTCAGTAAAGAGAATGTGGAAATGCCAGATGGACTGTATTCCCCTGTCACATAATCCCAGCACTCAGGAGTGGGGATCAGAGCCCAGGCCAGCCTGGCTTCTCAGTGAGACCCGCTCCACCAAGTGACACAGGCATAATTCATGAGGCATGATGAAGGTTCTTCTTGAAAACTAGATTTGAACCGAGGGCTTCTTGCTTGCTTGTTTGGCATTCTACCACTTGAGCCACACCTCCAGCCAGGCTTTTTGGACATAAAAAGTCGTTTGGACTTGGATCTTCCATTTCTCAGACTCCTGAATAGCTAAGATAGCAGTTGTGAGCCATGTGTCTTGGTGACTGTGACAGGCATCATGTGCACATAAAACTTAACTGGGTTGGTATCCCTGGTCATACTTCCAGACAGAGGTGTCACATATTTCATAATTGAGTGTCAACACATTTCAAAAGGTTAGAAGCACGTCATGTTTTCTAGTTCCTGCAGAATTAATTTGGAAATAAGGTAGAGAACCATGTAGGAGTAGAAATTAAATACTTCAATGAATAACCAAAATCTCTTTTCCATGGTGAAGAGACAAACTCTAAATGATAATATGACTACAAACACAAAAGAAAAATCTTATCACAACCCCTGCCTGAAAATAATGTAAAAAACTTTATGTGTCAGTACAGAGCAAAACAGTATAAGCAGAACTATGTAAACAGGAGTGTTTCAGTAAATTAAATGCTTTTAAAAAGTTGCACCAGAAAAAAAAAAGAATAACCTGTAAGTCAAGCAAGACTGAAATTAAAAAACTGTTGAGCTGAACACTAGTATCGGTTCCAATGGAATGCAGGTAAAATAGCACTAAATGAGAAGTAAAGACTAAATGTGTAGCAAAGAAAATCAGTAATACTGATTCTGAGTCAGCCATTCATCCCAAGAAAGTACAATAGCCATTTGCCAGTAACTGTGCCTGTAACACTAGCTACCGAAGAGGCTGAGGTCTGAAGGCTCAAGTTTCATATTCAGACAAGGCAGAAAAGAGCTGGGGATGTGGCTCAAGCACTAGAGCACCTTCCCAGTGAATGCAAGACTGGTTCAAAGCTCAGCACCACCTGAAAAAAAAAGAAACAATAGAATAATAGTCAGTGATGCTCAGGTGAAACGGTGAGACAGAAAATAATGCAACAGAGAGCAAGTGCACGAAGATGAGACTGACTCCAGAGTTCCGGAGGGGACTGCTTGAAGGAAGATAGGGCATCTTTTCTTCAGGCAGAAAGGCGAATATGGGGTGCTGAGAGTCGTAAGAAAACGCATAACGGTTACCATTGCCTTGCAGGTGGTGATCAACTGCGCCATCCCCAAAGGGCTGAAGTACAATCAGGCGACGCAGACCTTCCACCAGTGGAGGGATGCCAGGCAGGTGTACGGCCTTAACTTTGGCAGCAAGGAGGATGCCAATGTCTTCGCAAGTGCTATGATGCATGCCTTAGAAGTGCTGAACTCACAGGAGGCAGGTGAGGCGTCCGTGTGGTCCTGAAGTGCCATGCACACGTTAAGGCAGAACTGTGCTCTCCGGTTTTAAATCACACATGTATTGGGTATAATTCTTGAACTTTGTTGACAATATGAAAATGTGAACATTTGTGGGTAGTAAATAATCCAGTGATTTCTTTACCTTCTCATTTGAAGTTGATTGGTTTGTTCTATTCTGCTCTAGAAACTCAACTGTTGTTGCTGGGATGTGAAGCCTAGAGGAGACAGAGTGGCTAGAAATCACACACATTTATTATTATGCTCCCTTTAATTTTTGTAGACATTTCTATGTTGTACAGGCTGGCTGGCATCAACGCCCCTCCCCGCCCCCTCCCACCCCCCAGTAACTGGGACTTAAAAGCACCCTGTCCCATGCCTGTTACTTTACTTTTTATGAGGAAACACATTTGCTGAAAATCCTTTTTCAATCAGCTACTGAGCCCAGGAACTTCCCAGGGGATAGTCTGCTTCCTAGGAAAACACACACCTGACTTGTCTTTAGAAGTTGTTGGAAGATGCGAGGGTTGCCCTCATGTGGTAGAAGCTATGAATTGCCTCTTTTTACATTGAGTGTTTATAGAAATAATTAAGAATCTCAAAGCTTAAAGCTCAACGTGTTCCAAGGTTAAGTTTATTTTTGTATTGGTTTCAGAAGTAGAAACAGAAATGCATTAATGTATAGTATTTGTTTGAAGAGGTTTTATAGTCAGTAAAGGTTATATATAAAAGCAATAAAAATAGTATTGTGTTCACACTGTATAGTTAGTGGTTTTAAGGATATAAATGTGTTATGAGATGAAAGTTTGATACTTTGTCAAAGGTATAGAATTTCAAAAACCTGTAACATTAAATTATATTTACATTTTGCCTTATTTCAAAATGGATTGAAGCATCTAGCTTGTGTCTATTTTAAATACGAATTTTAGAGCAAGAAGGCATTTTGGGATCTTGAAGAAGCTCTTATGTTATTGTACCTGTATATGTTTTGTATCAGATTTTCTTTTGAGGAAATTAGGATCCATAGTAACTTGTTCTGATAGTTGTCTTTTTTTTTTTTTGTAAAAGTGGGGGACAGAGGGGTCACAGTTATGTAAGTCAGGTATTGCGTACATTTCTTTTGAACAGTGTCACCCTTTCCCTCATTTTCTCCCAGTTTTTTCCCTGCCCCTTCCCCCCAAGTTGTGTATAGTTCATTTCCAACTTTGGGTGAAGTGAGTACCACTGCTGAATTGGTTCACCCTTTTTTCCCTTTGAGGAAGGAAATTACTGAAATGTGTTCTAGTTTGTCTCTCAGTACAGAAAACAGCATAGGGGAAGTTTGGTCTCATGTAGATAATTTTTAAATCACTGTACTTTTCTTGAAAATTACTGTATATTTTATTAGCCCTCTTATCTGTGATAAAATTATATAATCAGTTTCACCAGTCATAATTTTACCAGAGGATAGAAATTAATCACAGTTCTCTGTATCTTGTTTAATAGAACAGTTAACCTATTTTGTGTGATGACACTTATCTTCATGTGTTTGGAAGAAACGGCCATTATTTTTATTTCTGAGCCTTCAGAAGAGTAGCTAGTGAAATTTAAGACTAAATGCTATCATAGTTCAAATTATTGCTTATTGTGTTATTTTTTAACCAAATAAAAATTGCTTTTATCATAGTAGCCATATAGTTTGCTTTCATAATCAAATGTTAGTAATGTTTTTCTTCTGATCACATCTTGATCTTTTGAAATTGTTTTAATGTAGATTCCATTACATTGTGTTACAGAGTTTAGTAAGCATTAAAAAAGAGTGTTCAACATTACACAGAATTTGCAAGTATGAAATGCTCCCTGTTTTTCACTTGATGAGGAAACGTTTTGGCGTAGAAAGAAAATAGCACTCTTCTAAGATGATGCTTTCTGTGAGGGGAGCCGGCGCATTAGCCGTCTCTCATCACCAGCCACCTCACTCGCAAAGAAGCTTCCACTTCTGTAGAGGGCTAGACATTTAAGTAGTTAATGTGGACAATCTGGTTTATTTAGGAACTGACACTTATAAAACAGCCCTTTCTGACTTTTGATGCTGTTAATTGGCCTTGGCCTGAAACTAGCAGCATGGAGGATGTGGATATTAAGAAGTGCCCTTGCTGGGCTCTGGCAGCTCCCACCTGTCATCCCAGCTGTTCAGGAGGCTGAGATCTGAGGATCGCGGGTAGAAGCCTGCCTGGGCAGGAAAGTCCATGAAGCTATCATCTCAAATAAACTACCCAGAAAAAGCCAAAGTGGTGCTATGGCTCAAGTGGTGGAGCGCTTGCCTTGAGCAAAAGAAAACTCAGAGACAGCACCCAGGCCCTGAGTTCAGCCCCCACAACTGACTAAAACAAAACACAAAGTGTCCTTAGGAAGGATGGTTCAGTTCAGTTCACCTCAGGATAGGTAGATTCCTGTCCTGGTGCGATTATATGGGCTTTTTCTCACCACCTAGTAATAACCATTGCCTCTTTCAGCATGGCCATATGTCCCCCACCAGATCAGTTTGCTTTGGGTTCACAGCTGATTCCCTGATGAAATTATCTGCTGTCTTTCTGCCAAAGCCAATTGAAAAAGCCTAACTTGAGCGTCTTCCATAAACAAACAGTAGCTCAATGAAACTGACCAGGAGCAAAAATAACATAAACTTACTTATAAAGAGAAAGCAACTGACTAACAATCTTGCCAAATTCGTAATGTCTAACATCATATTGAATTAGGGCCTGTGGCCTAGTTCTTCTTGCTTCCTGGACTGGCACGCACTCTTCCACTCATAATGCTACCAATCCAGCCTTCTTTGCTTATTTTGGAGATGTGGTGTCCCACAAACTATGATCCTCTAGATCTCAGCCTCTTGAGTAGCTAGGATTACATGCACGTGCGACTAGCATCCAGCATTTAAAAACATTGGTGTTTATTGCATAGAGAAATAGGTTTCATTGTGACCTATTTCTTTTCATACATACTGATACCAGACTAAAAATACCCACCCTCTTAACCGCTATTGTCTCCCCTAGTTTTATTCTTACCACTTTAAAAAACTTCTCAAAAAAGAATGACAGGCGAGGAACAGAAATGAGAGAGGAAGAGGATGGGAGAGGGTAAATAGGGGTGGATACGATCGACGCACTTGAGACTCTCAGGGAATAACATGATAAAACCTGTTGACGCTGTGTTAGAAGGCAGTGGAGGGAGGGAGTTTGACCACAGTAGTTTCTGTACATAATGGGAATGGCACTGCGAAACCCCTGTGTACAACGAATGTGTGCTAGTTACTTCCATGCATTTTATTGTTATTATAAAGGTGATCTTCAGAGGGGTTTCGGGTAGTACATCAGTCAGATAAAAAGTACATTTCACTCCTCCCCTTGCTCTCTCCCGTCCCCACCCACAAGTTGTATAGTTCATTTTCAACATAATGTCCAGTGAGTACAGGCTGCATTTGTTCACCCTTTGTCCCACATTTGTGTCCTCCCTTACTCTCCCAACGACAGATAAACAAGACAAAAAGGAAGGAAAACCAAAAAGGTAACTTTGTTTCCATTTCCTGGAGTTCGTTTCAATAAATATTATTTTACATGATCAGATGCACATAGCTATTGTGCCTTTGTGTTCCTCTCCTAAGAACACCCTCCTTTGGTCTCACTGTGTGTGAGTGTATGCCTAGAGACCTGGATAGTTTGTCATGTCCCAGTGTATTTTTTTGAACCATCCATTGGGTTTACTTGTAGATTTATAGGCCTATTCTAGCCACCACAAATGAAAAAATCATGAAGCCTACATTTCTCTGGGTCTGGCTTACTTCACTTAATACAATTTTTTTTCAAGTCTTTCCATTTCCTTATGAGTGGTACACATGCTCACCCCAGTTAGAATGGCCATGATCAAGAAAACTAGCAGGTGCTGGCAGGGACGTAGTCAGATTGTTGGTGGGAATGTAAACTGGCTCAGCCACTCTGGACATCAGTATGGAGGTTCCTCAAGACGACACATACAGCTCCCCTGTGACCCAGCAGTCCCACCCCTGGGCATTTATTCATAGACCACGGACTGGGCCACGAAAGCCACCAGCACAACCATGTTCATTGCAGCACTGCTCACCATGGCCAAGATAGGAATCAACCAGATGCCCCTCAGTGGATGAATGGACCAAGAAAATTTGATATATACACATGGAATTTGCTCATCAAAAAGAACATTGTACCATTCAAAAGGAAATGGAAGACTATTTCTAAGTGTTTCTGCCTACATTTGTGTATTAGGTGTTTATGTCAATAAGTGTTATTATTGGTAAATTCTTAGCGGTTTTCAGACTAAAATCATGGGCATTGTTCAGATGAAATCTTTTACCAAAGCTCATGATACAAATGGACCAGGAAAAAAAAAAGCTTCTGTGATTGATGTGGGTCTGAGGCCATTACATAATGCACCTGCATTTCTTTTCAGAACAGGGTTTGCATATTTCTTCTTCGCACAGTTCTCCCTTCCTCTCCAAGCCCTGCTGTCCCAGGTTCTCCAAATGTGTGAGGTTTGAGGCAGCGTCTGGACTATTGGAGTTACGGGCATGCAGCACGGTGTGAGGTTTCTTTGCTGTGTGTGCGGGCATGAGGGTTTGAACTCAGGGTCTGGGTGCAGTGTCGTAGTTGTTTTTGTTGAAGGCTGATGTTTTACCACCTGACCCACACTTCCATTTCTCGTTTTGCTGGTTAATTGGAAAGTTTCATGGGCTTTCCTCCTTGAGCTAGCTGGCGTTTGAACTAAGATCTTCAGGTCTCAGCCTCCGTAGTAGCTAGGGTTTGTAGGCGTGACCCACAGGTGTCTGGTTCAAATTTTTTAAAATTAAGAACAACCAACAACATCAAAAATAACCCTAGTTTTCTTTGATGCTACTCATTTTGGCCTTTCCATGCTGTTGTATCTGTGTATATGTATTTAATATTTTTATAATTTTATTTTTAAAAAGCAG